TTATAAGATGGGTTATGGTATAGCTTTGAAAATCATTAAGTATAAGGCAAGATAATGTTTGTATTGCTTAGTAATTTTGCCTCAGGCCACCTGCTGCTGAGTAGAAAGGCTGCCCATGCCTTCATGAATGTGGCTGTGCTGGACCATTGCTTGACAGCGGGTTGTCATCTTTTCACATAGAAACTCATCTTCCTCCTCTCCTGGGCCTCCAACTCCCAGGCCTCATTTTTAAAACAGCAATTTCTCCCCACTGTGTTTCATGCCCCAAACCTCCTAAGTGGAATTACAGACCAGTAACTCACAGTAGCCTGTTATTTATCCTATATGCAATAAAGACTTTCTGTAGGTTATAGGAAATAAATGTGTTTTTTACTATCATCTGTAGTTCTTATTAAACTTATCCCCATGGTGAGGAAATATCTTTGTGAGACCAAGCAGTTTTATGTCCAAACAGCCAATGAGCTGATAATGGGTTTTATGTCTAGCTGTAACCAGCAGCATTGCAGGCAGCCCTTCTTTCATTGCAGTTAGGAGATGCAGGTTTCTCAACCCATAGCGTGTAAATACTTCTTGTTAATTTAGTGGTCCATGCTTTTAAATAGAGTATCTGGTGTCCCCATGCATGCCTATTGGCTGAAACACAAAATCTGAGATGCCTTATGGAGCTAAAGAAAGAAACCTGGACCAAAAATGAATGGTATGAGGTTATGAAATAAAGATGGAGGAGTGGAAAGAACTCTTTGCACTGGTAGAGTCTTTAAGCCATGAGAATTTTAAAATTGTAGATATAGGAGTTACTCTGTTATCTCCTCTCGGCAGAGAAATGGAAGGAGAAAGGCAGCTAAAATTGCTTGCTAATTATTCAGACAGAAGCAACTTCTCATCCCAGGAAACTAAGACTTAGCATCTTTATCTGTGAAACAGGGATGATAATGCCATACTCCTAGAATTGTGATGCAAAGAAGTCAGCACAGTGCTGATGCCCCGTATGTGTTCAACAAAAAGAAAGCCCTGACTTTTAGTTCTAGTGTTATTCTTCCTTGCTAACTTCTTCCCTCTTGTTGTTCCCTTCAGTATAGCATACAAGTGAAAATAACTAGCAGGCAATAATGTGGGGCCATGGTTTAGGTGAGAAGACAGGAAGTGAGATCCAAACAGAGATCAACAGCGAGTATGGTTGACACCATGGGAATCTCACACTTTTATCTGGTAGTACGGCATTGGTTTAGCTTGCAGACTAATTTCACAGAGTTATTTAAATGTAAATATACAAATTGGGTTTCTCTGCCATAGCTAGGAAAGGGAAGAAGGAAATGAATCTATGTTTTTTGGTTACTACCATGTGGCACCTACTTTCATACATTATCTTTACTATATTTCCAAAAGAATATAATTTCCATGAGAGCTGAAATTTTGGTCTGTTTTCATTTACCATCTGCTATGGTTTAGTTATTTGTCCCCTCCAAACTTCATGTTGAAATTTGATGCCCAGTGTTGGAGGTGGGGCCTAATGGAAGGTGTTTGAGTGATGGGGGCAGATCCCTCATAAATAGAGTAATGCCCTCCCTCGGGGGTGAGTGAGTTTTTGCTCTAAAATTCCTTCAAGAGCTGGTTGTTGAAAAAGAGCCTGGCACTCCCCAGCCCCTTGCTTCCTCTTTCACCACGCCATCTCTGCACACATGGGCTTTCCCTCACCTACTGCCTGCCATGAGTGGAAGCAGCCTGAGACCACTAGATGCCCAATATTGAACCTTTCCACACATCAGAATTGTAAGCCAAATGAACCTTTTCTATTTACAAATTATCCAGCCTCAGGCAGTCCTTCATAGCAAAACAAAATAGAAAAAGAAAACTGGTACCAAGAGTGGGTTCTTGCTATAAAGATAGCTGAATATGTGAAAGTGGCTTTAGAATTGGGTAATGGGAGATGTTTGGGTCATGGGGGTGGATCCTTCATGAATAGATTAAGCCTTTTTTGGGAAGTGAGTAAGTTCTTACTCTATTAGGTCCCATGAACGCTGGTTGTTTAAAAAACCCTGGCAGCTCCCCACTTTCACTCTTGCTTTTTCTTTCACCATGAGACCTCTACAAGCTAGCACTTCTTTGCCTTCTGTAATGAGTGGAAGCAGCCTAAGGCCATCACCAAAAGCAGATGTTGGCACTATGTTTCTTGTGCAGACTGCAGAATTGTAAGCCTAACAAATCTCTTCTCTTCGACAAACAGAGAGCCAAATCATGAGTGAACTCCCATTCACAATCGCTACAAAGAGAATAAAATACCTGGGAATCCAACTTACAAGGGATGTGAAGGAACTCTTCAAGGAGAACTACAAACCACTGCTCAATGAAATAAAAGAGGACACGAACAAATGGAAGAACATTCCATGGGCTCATGGACAGGAAGAATCAATATCATGAAAATGGCCATGCTTCCCAAGGTAATTTATAGATTCAATGCCATCCCCATCAAGCTACCAACGACTTTCTTCACGGAACTGGAAAAAACTACTTTAAACTTCATATGGAACCAAAAGAGAGCCCACATGGCCAAGTCAATCCTAAGCCAAAAGAACAAAGCTGGAGGCATCACATTACCTGACTTCAAACTATACCACAAGGCTACAGTAACCAAAACAGATACATAGACCAGTGGAACAGAACAGAGGCCTCAGAAATAATGCCACACATCTACAACCCTCTGATCTTTAATAAACCTGACAAAAACAGGAAGTGGGGAAAGGATTCCCTATTTAATAAATGGTGCTGGGAAAACTGGCTAGCCATATGTAGAAAGCTGAAACTGGATCCCTTCCTTACACCTTATACAAAAATTAATTCAAGATGGATTAAAGACTTAAATCTTAGACTTAAACCATTAAAACCCTAGAAGAAAACCTAGGCAATACCATTCAGGACATAGACATGGGCAAGGACTTCATGACTAAAACACCAAAAGCAATGGCAACAAAACCCAAAATAGACAAATGGGATCTAATTAAACTAAAGAGCTTCTGCACGGCAGAAGAAACTACCATCAGAGTGAAAGGCAACCCACAGAATGGGAGAAAATTTTTGCAATCTACCCATCTGATACAAAGCTAATATCCAGAATCTACAAAAACTTAAACAAATTTACAAGAAAAAAACAAACAACCCCATCAAAAAGTGGACAAAGGATGTGAACAGACACTTCTCGAAAGAATACATCTATGCAGCCAACAGACACATTAAAAAATGCTCATCATCACTGGCCATCAGAGAAATGCAAATCAAAACCACAATGAGATACCATCTCACGCCAGTTAGAATGGCAATCATTAAAAAGTCAGGAAACAACAGACACTGGAGAGGATGGGGAGAAATGGGAACACTTTTACACTGTTGGTGGGAGTGTAAATTGGTTCAACCATTGTGGAAGACAGTGTGGCAATTCCTCAAGGATCTAGAACTAGAATTACCATTTGACCCAGCAATCCCATTACTGGGTATATATCTAAAGGGTTATAAATCATGCTACTATAAAGACACATGCACACATATGCTTATTGCAGCACTATTCGCAATAGCAAAGACTTGGAACCAACCCAAATGTCCATCAATAATAGACTGGATTAAGAAAATGTGGCACATATACACCATGGAATACTATGCAGCCATAAAAAAGGATAAGTTATGTCCTTTGCAGGGACATCAATGAAGCTAGAAGCCATCATTCTGAGCAAATTATCACAAGGACAGAAAACCAAACACCGCATGTTCTCACTCATAGGTGGGAATTGAACAATGAGATCACTTGGACACAGGGCAGGGAGCATCACACATCCGGGCCTGTCAGGGGATGAGGGAGAGGAGGAGAGATAGCATTAGGAGAAATACCTAATGTAAATGATGAGTTCATGGGTGCAGCAAACCAACATGGCACAAGTATACATATGTATCAAACCTGCATTTTGTGCACATGTACCCTAGAACTTAAAGTACATATGAAAAAAAAAACTCATCTAATTTTTTTTTGATAAATTACCCAGACTCAAGTAGTCCTTTATAGCAACACAAAATGGAGTAAGACATCACAGTATTTCCCACACCTAGAACAACATGTAGCATGTAGTAGAGCATCAGTAATATTTGCTGAATGAACTGTGGATACTTAGGAAAAGCTCAGCAAGGCAAAATCTATCAGCCATGTGCCACTGTTCAACTCATAAAAATAAAGCAATGCGATTAATTCTCTTATTCTACATAAATATTCATTAGATTAATGATTAATTCCTTCTCTTCATCACACTACCACATGTCTAGTCCAAAATCCCATCATATTTCACCTTTATTTCTGCTGTGACCTACACTTTGTTCTCCTCACCATAACTGAATACCTGTCTTACTGCAGAGCCAGAAAGAATTCAAAAAGAAATATAATAATATTACCCTCCTGTTTAATATCTTCCAATAGCTCCATGCTCTTTGAAAATAGTACCAAACTCTTATAGGCTCACAAGAGCCTGCTGTATCTGGCCCGATAAATTTCAGCCTCATTGCTTTTTCTTTGTGTTCTGGACTGAGTTGCTTTCAGATGCTCAACTGATCTATGTTCTCTTTTAACTCAGGGCCTTTGCACATGCTGTTCTGTTTGCCTAGAATACTGCCTTATACACCCTTTACCCTTCTCCATACAACTCTTTATCTAGATGATCTCTACTCATTGTTATGGTCTCCATTTAATATCACTTCTTTAGGGTACCCTGCCTGAGACTCCATAAGGTTCCCAACTTCATGCCTTCATGGTGTCCTGTATGCCCCCTTTTCAAACACTTTTCTTTCCCTACCAGGCTAAAAGCCCCATGAAAGGAGAGGTGGATTCTATTTTATTCACTGCTCTGTGTGTGTGTGTGTGTGTGTGTGTGTGTGTGTGTGTGTGCGCGCGCGCGCGCACATGAGTATGGCAGGCATATAATATGTGCTCAATAAGTATCTACTGAATAAATGGTGATCATGTAATACTAAGAATACCCTGCAATGTGAGGTATCATTTCTATTTTTCAGATAAGGAAACTAAAATCTAAAAAGACTAAATTTCAAACTCAAGGTCATATAGCAAATAGCATAGTTAAGAGTCAAATCTAAGTCTGGATCCAAAATCTCTTTCTTCTTTTCCAAAATAATTTTTCTCCAGCTCATCAAATACTCTACTTACTAGAAGGTCACAACCTATGTCATATAGTTGGTTCTAATTTGGAAAGAATTATAATTTACCAGACACAATCAATTCCTTCTCCAGTGATGCAGAAGGCCCCACAGAAGCTTTCAATGTGGTTGCTGGATGACTCTGAGCATAATTATTATAGGAAAGAAGTGCAAAAATAGTTCAGGTTAAGATACGTTTGTCAGCTTGCTCCTTTCCGCCCGTGGATGCCACCGATGCAGCATCGTTAAAGTCTCTCTTCTCCCTGCCATCATATCTAAGTCAGAGTCTCCTAAAGAGCCGGAACAGCGGAGGAAGCTCTTCATTGGAGGGTTGAGCTTTGAAACAACTGATGAGAGCCTGAGGAGCCATTTTGAGCAATGGAGAACGCTCATGGACTGTGTGGTAATGAGAGATCCAAACACCAAGCGCTCCAGGGGCTTTGGGTTTGTCACATATGCCACTGTGCAGGAGGTGGATGCAGTCATGAATGCCAGGCCACACAAGGTGGATGGAAGAGTTGTGGAAACAAAGAGAGCTGTCTCAGGAGAAGATTCTCAAAGACCAGGTGGCCATTTAACTGTGAAAAAGGTATTTGTTGGTGGCATTAAAGAAGACACTGAAGAACATCACCTAATAGATTATTTTGAACAGTTTGGAAAAATGGAAGTGATTGAAATCATGACTGACCGAGGCAGTGCCAAGAAAAGGGGCTTTGCCTTTGTAACCTTTGACAACCATGACTCCATGGATAAGATTGTCATTCAGAAATACCATACTGTGAATGGCCACAACTGTGAAGTTAGGAAAGCTCTGTCAAACCAAGAGATGGCTAGTGCTTCCTCCAGCCAAAGAGGCCAAAGAAGTTCTGGAAACTTTGGTGGTGGTCATGGAGGTGGTTTTGGTGGGAATGACAATTCTGGTCATGGAGGAAACTTTAGTGGTCATGGTGGCTTTGGTGGCAGCCATGGTGGTGGTGGATATGGTGGAAATGGGGATGGTTATAATGGGTTTGGTAATGATGGTGGTTATGGGGGAGGCAGCGCTGGTTACTCTGGAGGAAGCAGAGGCTATGGATGTGGTGGACAGGGTTATGGAAACCAGGGCAGTGGCTATGGCGGGAGTGGCAGCTATGACAGCTTTAACAACGGAGGCAGAGGTGGTTTTGGCGGTGGTAGTGGAAGCAATTTTGGAGGTGGCAGAAGCTACAGTGATTTGGGTAATTACAATAGTCAGTTTTCAAATTTTGGACCCATGAAGGGAGGAAATTTTGGAGGCAGAAGCTCTGGCCCCTATGGCGGTGGAGGCCAATACTTTGCCAAACCACAAAACCAAGGTGGCTATGGCGGTTCCAGTAGCAGCAGTAGCTATGGCAGTGGCAGAAGATTTTAATTAGGAAACAAAGCTTAGCAGGAGAGGAGAGCCAGAGAAGTGACATGGAAGCTACAGGTTACAACAGATTTGTGAACTCAGCCAAGCACAGCGGTGGCAGGGCCTAGCTGCTACAAAGAAGACATGTTTTAGGCAAATAATCATGTGTATGGGCAAAAAAACTCGAGGACTATATTTGTGACTAATTGTATAACAGGTTATTTTAGTTTCTGTTCTGTGGAGAGTGTAAAGCATTCCAACAAAGGGTTTTAATGTAGATTGTTTTTTGCACCCATGCTGCTGATTGCTAAATGTAATAGTCTGATCGTGATGCTGAACAAATGCCTTTAAAAAAATAGTTAAGGTTATTTATGTTTCCTTTTTCCTTAGATGCCAGATAAACAGTTGTTGACTGGAATTTCAACTGAGGCAGAGAGATGACCTAGTTAAGTTCCTGGCCTGAGAGAGTGTCAGTAGAAGAGCCCATATTTCTCACATGTATGGAATTGCATGAAGATCTTTCATTTATTCTGCTCTGCTGTGATTCAATGTGATTACTTTGACTAGTGAATCGAAGGTGGTTCTTTAACTATAAACAAGCGAATGGGTTAAAAAAATCAAAATTAATATCTATGCTTTAAATGAGAGGAGTGAAGGGGCTATGATAAAGGTTAGTAGGACACACCCCTCATTTGTGGGAGGCCACTCACCTGTACATCCACCAGAGGGCAGCAGCAGCAGCAAAGGCCCACCTCCCCTGTGCCACACTTCACGCCACGCTGTCCAACCATACATGGCTATTGGGCACCTGAAATGTGGCCAGTGCCACTTGTTGAAATGATAACAGTTTGGATATATTGGATTAAAGAAAATATATTATTGAAATTCATTTCACCTGTTTATTTTTACTTAAACGTGGCTAAGTAGCAAATTTAAGGTGACATATGTGGCTTGCATTCATAGCCCATGCTATATTTCTTTTGGGTGAAACTGCTTGACACAATCCATGGTATAATAAACAGAATTTCCAAAATAACTAAAGTTTGAATCTCATTTTCAGGCTATGTATATCTTACACAAATATCATGTCATGATAAGAATTTGGAAGGATCTTGGAGCTTGTCCTTATTTTACAGCTAAAGAAACTGAGGCTCAAAGAGATGAAGCAACTTTGCCCAAGATCAGACCACCAGTAAGTGGCAGAGCTGGACTTTGGACTTCAGTTTCAAACAAAATCAGTTCTTCTCCACTCAGCGAGTGGCCCAGAAATTATAGGTGTCCCTGGACTTAGAGTGTACCTCTGAGAGCTCCCATCCCTCTATCCCCAGCACCAGTGGCTGGCACATGGCAGGAACTCTGTTCTACAGCATCCAGTCTGTGTGAGATGCTTTGTTTACTGCACCACACAAAGAATACAAAGACAAGTGCTGCTCAGGCTCTGTTCTCTGGAAGCTCATGGCGTAGTAGAGAAGGTACCAGATGGACAGTAACCAATTAAAATCATAAAACAAGTTCTAGCAAAGTACCTTGAAACTAATATGGAAATGTGTTCAACCTCATTAGGAATTTTAAAAATGCAAATAAAAATAAGGATGTGACGTACTTTACTCACATTCTTCCTAGTTTCAGAGGGCCTTAAAGTAGTTCATAATCCTACCTTCGAAAAAAAAATCAACAGAAAATAAAATCAACAAAAGAAAAGAAGTTCTTCTTTCTGTAAACGTGTTCTGTGGGAGGGACAAGATACCACCCAAGAAAATGAGTTAGATGATATGAACATTTTAATTGCCATGATGTCCTTTGCATCAGTTTGCTTAGCTTTGAGAAAAGAAGTTAGTTACATCCAATTGGATATTTGATGTACACTAGGAAGAATATTTATCTTTATTTAGTTTAAGAAAATTCAAAATTCCCAGGCTTTTCTTGAGTGTCAAAATGGAAAACTTACTTAACAGAAGAAACCAAAACTTATTCTGTCTCCTGGTATCTACCACAGGACTTGACGTATAACATGGACTCAACTCAATAAAGCCTTGCTGAATACAGGAAGGTACCTGCATTTATTCTGTGCCGGTTATGTGCCCATGTACCTTAACAGGCCTGTTTCGATAAATAAGGTCATTTAATAACCTTAATACCCTGAAAATTTTAGTCTCCATTTTCAGATAAATAACAGAAGCTCCAAAAAAAAAAAAAATTGATTATCTTGCCCAAATCCCTAATTACCAGGGAGCAGAGCTGCAATTCGGACCCATAATGTATTTTGTTCCAAAGCTTGCATCTTTATGCTGTGTGAAGGGATAGGAGAATAAAGGGAAAAAAGAGAAGGAACAAAAGGGAAAAAGAAAAAAGAGAGAAAAAGGGAGAGAGAGGAGGCAAGAGAAGGATGGAGATAAAAACAAAGATGCAAGGGAAGAAAGGGGTGAGTGAGTATGGAATTCTACCTCTTTCAGCACATAGTCTAAAAATAAAGAGAAGGGTCAAAGCTTTCGTGGAAAAAAAATATTCCTGGCAATTTGGAGAGACAGTTTTTAAAACGACAGGTTAGGAATTCATCTACTGTCGAAGGCTTGGCGCTCAGAAGTTCCCCCAGGATGGTTTCTTCTCTTGCCACCTCATTATCGCCGGGAACAATCTGCATGGCCAGTAATGAGAGGATCTTAATGCCGGCAGTCTCAGGGGTGGGTAATGGCTCTGCTCGTGGAGTTGGGGTCACAGGTTCAGGCCTGGATGCTGTGGAGAGAGCTGCGCGGAGCTACAGACCGTCCCCCTGGACTGGCAGTCCATTAGCCCTTACCCCCTCAGCATGGCGGTAATGAGTAGGTGAGGCCCACTCCACAGCCCCTGCCAGCAGGCCCATCGGAGTGTGGGTGTGGCCTCCCAGTGCCAAGTGCTTCCCGCTGCCAGCCCTGACCAACCTGCTTTCCTTGCAGTGCTGTAGGCCAGCCTGCAAGATAGGGTTTGTCAGGATTCGGGATACTCTCAAATTCTGCTCCTAACAACAATGCAATTAACTAGGGAGCCAGATAATTTAAGCTTTATATTCATAAACTATAATATTTATATAGATTCCAATTGTATGTTTTCATCTGTAAGCCCATTTTGTATAGTAGAAAAAAACAGATTTTCTAGTCAGAGTTCTAATCCTAGCATCCCTCTATTAGCTATGTGACCTTGGGCATATTAGCTCATTTCTATGAATCTTGATTTTCTCACATGTCATGAGGAATATTAATAATACCAGCCTTATTGGTTTGTTCAGATTATTATAAATTTGTTATTAATAACTAACATTAACATTGAGTACTGTGTGTTGGATTCTGTGATAAGTGCTTTTATACGTATGATTCTGAATCCTCTGACCTCTACATGTAAATACTACTCTTATCTCTAATTGGCAGATGTAGAAACAGGGTAAGACTAAGTTTGTACATGTCAGAACTGGGATCTGAAGTCTGGTCTCTCTGACAAACTTTGTAACCTTAACCACTATGCTATAGTGAAATTATGAATTTCACACCCAGAGTAAAAGCCTGATATGCAGTACATTGTCAATAATTATATTAGTTGTTTCTCCTCTCCTTTTCTCTTTGTCTAATATAACAGGAGACACTCAGAAAACAGAAATCTGTCTAGGTATTTGAAACAGGGAAGATTCAATACAGGAGATGGTTGCATACAAGATGGAAGAGCTAAGAAGTGAAAAGAGGATATTGAGACAAGGTAGAGAGCAGCAATAGGAGGAAGCCACTGTAACCCCCAGCCAGGCTAGAGGAATAGGGGAAAAAGATGGTACCACCAAACCCCAGAGACATAGTCACCTTCAGAAGCTAGAAGCACAGAGGAGCCCTGGAGTAGATGGTACCATTTCTGGAGATGCAATCCCAAACCAGGAAAGCCAAGGGTAAAAATACCCCGTCCCTCTTCCCTCCTCCTGGTCTCCAACTTCCCACAGCCTCAAATGAGTAATACATACTCAGAAACTCAAAAAGAAGGAACCTAAGGAAATGTTTCCTGCAAATTTTTCAAAGACAGACAGAAGGGATCTGAGATTAAATATACAGGTAATTGACACATCTACAATGTTATCAAGTAGGTAAGTTGTGGTGAGCACAGTGGCTCACGCCTATAATCCCAGCACTTTGGGAGGCTGAGACGGGCGGATCACGAGGTCAAGAGTTCAAGGCCAGCCTGGCCAACATGGTGAAACCCCATCTCTACTAAGCATACAAAAATTAGCCAGGTGTAGTGGCGTGTGCCTATAATCCCAGCTACTCGGGAGGCTGAGGCAGGAGAATCGCTTGAACTTGGGAGGCGGAGGTTGCAGTAAGCCAAGATCGTGCCACTGCACTTGAGCCCGGGCGACAGAGCAAGACTCTGTCTTTAAAAAAAAAAAAAAGGTGGGTTGTGATTGTCCTCTCTGTTTGACTCTGTCAAGTATTCATTTCATGGCACAATAGTGATGTCATTTTATAGATGAGAAAAGACCAGACATTAACTACTACTCCCAGAGCCCCAAAGAGGAAGTGAGTATTACTTTTGTGAGATTCACAGAAGGCTTTAGAGTAGGAGTGACTGTGAGGACATCATGGGTCATGGGTGAAGAGAGTTTTGTCAGATGGATCAGATTGAAAAAGCACTGCAAGCAGTGGAAATAGAAGAGGTAAAGGTATCAATCCATATATTGAAGGGTTTGGGCTATACTGTCTTTGAAGTTTCTCCAACTCCAACTTTTTTAAAACTTGAAATTCTGCTAGAAGTGAAAGAAATATATTATCCAAACTGTTGTTTATGGTACCTAAAGGCATTCATTTTCTAATATGAAATTATAACACTTGACCCATTTACGTAGGTTCTGTGATGTACCTTTCATGTTGATAAAGAAATTAGTACATAGATAGAGCTAATGTCACTAACAAGATCGGCTCAAAAGGGACAGAGAATTTTGGTCTCTTATCTGCCTTCTTACTACCTTGTGTTAGCAGTTTGGAAAGAGGAGCACAACGGCTATACATTAATATTTTGGTGATTCATTCCTTCTGGAATATATTG